TTTGTTTGACAAGGATGATAAGCGGAGAGCCCCCAAAGTTTGGTTTCGAGTGTAAGAAAAATAAAAATATGGCAGAAAGTCACGATCTAATCAACAAACTCCCCCCAGAGTGCCTGATGCACATCTTCAGCTTCCTTGAATCGTCACGGGATCACTGTGCCAGTGCTGCAGTATGTAGGAACTGGCTGAAGCTTCTGGTTGAGTTGATTATTCTCAAAGTTAGATCAATCACTTATGACTATTCGGAGACTATACCATTGTGTCGTCGACTCGAAGGGAGGTCAGCTAATGATATTACACTTACTAATTTAGGTGTGGGGACCTATCCTCTTCATCACTTGACTTCTCTTTATCTGGGCGATGTTCTTTTTGTTGGGATCACTGATGATGGCCTAAAGATTATTGCACAACTAAGCCCCATGCTTGCGTCTCTTACTCTTCAGAGCTGTTATTCTGTGGGAAATGTGGGATTAAAGTCTGTTGCTGAATTTTGCAAACAGCTTGAAAAGCTAGAGCTGATAAATTCGTTTATTGATGATGAAGGGATCATGCCAATAGCTGAGAATTGCTTACATTTGTCTGCACTGAGCCTAGAGCACTGTCCTCGGATTAGCAATGAATCGCTGATGGCATTCGCAAACAAGTCTTTGCATCTTAAGTCCATCACCTTAAGAGACTGCGTACTTATTGAAGATTCTGGTATCTTTTTTCTCATATCTAGTCAACCAGAGTTGATGAGGATCAAGCTTATCTCTATGAATGTCGGTAATGAAGTTCTCAAAGCAATACAAGAGCATGGACGGGCTTTAAAGGTGTTTTACCTAGAAAAAGTTCCATATGCGGGTGAGAATCTTTATCAATGGATTGAAGCAAGTGGAAATCTTGAAGCAGTTATTCCTCGTCCTTATGCCAGTTTTACAATAAGGAGCTTGGCCCGCTTAGAGATTTTGGAAATGGAGAGTTATTTTTCGTTAAGGGATGATTTTCTGTTAGCACTGAGCCAAATGACGAAGTTTCTGCAAAAATTCAAGCTAAAGAAGTGTCGGGGATTCACCTCTGGAGGAATTCTTGCAGCTGTTGCAAACTGGAGCCATCATTTGGAGGTAATATCATTGAATAACTGCATTATAGTCGGTAAACAAGAAGTGACACAAGAACAAGCCTTTCGGAACTTCCCATCATTTAGATCCCTCAAATTGATAAAATGTGAAGGAGTTGATGACTGCTTCTTATCTTCATTGGGGCCTGTGTGCAAGCAAGCGAAGCATATTACCTTGAATGAGATAGATTCTATCACTGACCGAGGACTCCAAGATCTTGTAAGATACAACACTGATCACTTGCTTCAGTTTTTACATCTGGATGGCTGTATAGGAATCAGTGATGTGGGTTTATGTTCAGTGCTAAGAACTTCAGGCAGAAATATCCAGTTCTTGACTGTGGATGATTGCACGAGTATTACTGATCAGAGTTTGATGACGATGGCAGAGAACTGTGGGAAACTAAAAACTCTTTTTGCATCCGGCTGCAGAGTCAGTGACAATGGGGTGTTTTCTGTGATATTTAATTGTGGAAAAACTATAGAAACTATGTCATTTTCTCAGTGTACGAGGACCACTAGCAAAACTGTGAGTTATATTGAGACAATGGGTAACAGACTTGTGCTTCGGCTGCCCTCAGATTGATGGGAAGGCCTCTGACTTACTTTGGACTCAATAGCTAGATCGAGAGGTGAGCCACTGCTACAAATCATAAACTTTGCATTATTTATTCGCTTAATATTCTGAGTATGGGCTATCTTGAGCAAATCAAATAGCACATGGCTTGTCCACTAGGATATGTTGTTGAGTAATAAACTGTCGTCAGGGTTTGAATTGGAGGAAGCCATCATAACATGTACCAAGTATAACTATTTCCTTTTCTCCTTCTATGGCGGGAAAAGAAATTGTAGAACTTTTATGGTTGAACATAGTATTCAAGTTTCTTGAACATAGTCTGTTGTTCGTAGGTTGCATCATAGTACACCCGGATATAATATGGGAAAACAGAATAGTTTTTTTGGATATTAGTCCCTTTAATCTTCAATAATTCCATATTATTCCCTCAAATCTTTCAAATTGCTCGCAAGTCTCTCAAACCTAAGGTGTCTTGCAAATTGGTTCCTCAATAACCAATATGGCCTCAGCTT